GAGGCGGCGGTGGCAGCGGTAAGGACCCCTCCCTCGCCCCGCGCCTCCGCACGGTTCCCTTGGTACCGGCAGGTGCTCGGGGGCGGCCCAAGCCGCCCCCTGTCGGAACTCTGCCCTGGCCCTGCTTGGGGTCCTGGGAGTGTGGCCTGCCTGACCACTCTCACCCTGGGGGACTGTTCTCTCAGCTTCCCCCTCCTGAATCTCAGCCTGCCGGATCCTTAAGAAGCACAACTTAACTCTCTTCTGTATAAATAGGGAAACTGAGACCCCCGCGAAGTGAGGAAATGCGCCTATGGTTGCATGGCAAGGTCGCAACTAGAACGCAGGTCCCCAGACTGGTACCCCAGGACTCTTTTAGCAACACTGGCCCCGGTGGTCTTCATCCGTTTCTTCCACTCCTATCCCAGCCCCATGCAGAGGCGGCAGACCTGCCCCAGAAGGGGCGATCCACTGACTATGTGAACGTGAACAGGTCGCTTTCCCGGCCAGGTCTGAGTCTCCCGTCTTAGAGTGACATATTGGTGGATCCTATGTGTTGGACTGGAAAAGGGCCCTCGTTGGTTAGATTGGGGCAGGAGGTCCTACCTACCCTCCCCAGGGCCCTCCCTGAACTCTTGACCCTGGGGGAGGGGAAGCAGGAGCAGTTGGGAAGGTGGCTACTGTTTGGCCCCTCCGCCTGTGAACCTCCTGCCCCCAGGCAGGCCTCTCTGATCCACCCTCTTCAAAGGCAGGGGAGGGGGCAGGACAAAGGCCCAGCTTTAATGAGGGGCGGCCTGACCTCCTTTATGGGTCCCCCTTTGTCATGGAACAGGCTGTGCCTTGGCTCTGTAGTGACTCCTGTTGGCCGGAAAGTGAACACGACAGCCCATTGTCCGACTGTGTCTGGCCTGTTCTGACAAAGGCCACCTGGCCTTGGGGGCGGGAAGCTGGCCTGCCCACCCTTTGATGTCCAGGCCCTCCTCCCCTTCCCCCAGCTGGGAGTAAGCCTGGGACTACTCCCATCTCCTTTCTCTCTTCACCCAGTCTCCTCACACACACCCCACTTGCCCCCAGGGCAGATGCTGGGGAGGGCTTGACCAATAGCTGCAGGTTCTGGTTGTGATTGTACCCCCTTCTTGGAAGTCCCAGGAACACAGGTCCTGCTGTCTGCCCCCAGGAAGATGAAGGGGACAAGGCTCTGCCACTCACTTCGGTGACCTTGATTAAATAATACCAGCTTACATTATGGAACACCTCCTAATGCACCAGGCACTGAACTAAGACCTTGCATGTATTAACTCATTTAACTCTTATAACATTACAGTAGGTACTGTTATCACCCCTATTTTTAAGATGAAGAAACTGTGGCAGAGAGATGTTAAATACTTGCCCAAGGCCATATACCCAGTAACTGGTGAGAATGGGATTTGAACCCAGGGGGACTGACCACCAAGCCTGTGCTCTAACACACAGCTTCTCTCAGATCAGTCATCTTTTCTGGTTCTCAGTTTTATCATCTGCGAAATGAGAGGGAAGGGAGGTTGTACAGTGTTTGTACCCTTGCTTGAGTTACAAAAGAACTCCTTTGAAAAATCTGATGGAAAGAACAAATCTTCTCCCTAGAAAAAAAATGTTGTGTCATTGGGCAGACAATTTCAGGGATGCTGGGGGCCCCTTTATGCAGAAGCTTTATCCAGAAATCCTGGATTAAGAACGCTGCATTAGATGGTATGAGAGGAGGTATCTGGGGACATTGGCCCTCAGGATCCAGCAGTTGTGTGTCTGGGAGGCTCTGGAGAAGGAAGCCCGCCTTTCCTGCTCCTCCATTCCACTTTCTGCTTCCTAGTGATCAGGTGACTTTGGAGGTGGATGGGGAGGTTCCCCATAGGCGGGTACTTGGAGAGAGGCCATCACTGTGTGAGGAGGAAGGAGCGGGCCAGTGGGAGTCAAAGGGCTGGTGGGAGCCTGGGGAAACTTCCAGGTTGTGTGATATCAGACAAATCACCTAGTCCTTCTGGGCACAAGAGCAGCCGAACCCAGCTCAACCTCTAGTCACAAAAGTCATTTGTAAACTGTTGTCTGCAGGCACATGAGTGACTCCGCCCAAAGGCGAAAGCATTTCCCCCTTTGCTGTCAGAGAGTAGAGGAAAAGGCCAAGGGAGGTTTAGGGGTCCTTGAGCCTCCAGGAAAGGGGCTGCCCCAGTAAGCAGGTTAGACCCATTCTGCTGAAGATGCGGGAGACTTGGCCTTCTCGAAGTTGGAAGCTGCTGCCTGTCTTCTCAGGGCATTTGACTCTCACCAATGCTGCAGAAGGGGAGACAGAATTGGGGTGGGGTTGCAGACTCGCCCTGAGAGGACAAGCTTCTTCCCTCTTTGGCCTCAGTTTTTCCTGGGCAAAGAAGGCACAGTGTTTCCAGGTGTGACTCCCATTTAATGCTGTTGTCCAGGACAGTTGAGAGATGGTCAGTGCATGCCACCCCCCTCCTAACCCCTAGTGATGCTGGCTGGCCACCAAGTCTTCAGACTGCCACCCTTCTTGGCCAGCCCCTTCTTTCCCCCTACTTTTGAGCTTTTGCTATTCTGGAATGTCCGAACTGGACAGTTAGAGACCAGACATGTAGATGAAAACTGAGGTCCGGAGACTAAGGATTGTTCCAGTTTCACACAACCGGAGGCTGAGCTGGGATAGATGTCCAATGAGTTGGTTTAAAATTTTCCTATGGCTTCCCATCATATTTAGGATGAACTCCGCTCTCCTTCCTAGGGTCTACACGTGTGTACAGCATCAGCACCTGGCCCCTGCCTGCCTCCCCCAGCTCACTCCAGGTCTCCCTTTGGCCAGCAAGCCCTTACTTCAGGTCTTGTGCATATGCCGTTCCCTCTTCTAGGAGAGCTCTTTCCCCTCATTTTTTGCAAGCCTGGCTCCTTCTCACCCTTCAGGTCTCAGCTTGATGATCACCTCCTCAGAGAGGCCCTCCATGCTTTCCAAAAGTAGACTCCCCGCTATACCCATTGGTAATCTTGCTGTGTTCCCTTCAGAGCATTAACCCCAGTTCCAAATTACTCACTTATATGTGACCATGAGGTCCAGAGTAGTGTCTGTTTGACCCACCACTGCATCCCAGGCACCCAGCTCAGAGCATGACATTTAGTAGGTGCTCAATACATTTTTTTGAATGAACAAGCAGGCCAAGTGTGAGGGACAGAGACATCTCTGGGAGAACAGGACATGGGTGAGATCTTGACTTTGACACAGATTTCTGAGGTCCCAGCCCTGGGGTTGGGACCCATGACTGTCCTGCCAAGCAGTTCAGAGCAGTGGTGGAAATCTGGCTGACTCCTCTCCCTGCTTGGACAGTATTCCTGACTCACTTGGGGAATTGGAGTAGCTAAGGCTGGGACTGAGACTCTGGCTTTTTTCTAAGGAGGAGGTGGTAGACGTGGGAAAGATAAGGAAGAGGCTGCTGGGCTTCAATCCATGAACAAAATATTCATCAGTTCGGAGTAATTAGTATCACTTGACTGAGGCCAGGATAGGAAATGACTATAAAGGGTTCTTTTTTTTTGTCTTCTCTCTTTGCATCTATAAATATCAGCACCTTCATTAGGAGGGTTATAAATCATCCTTCTGTGGAAGTATCAGCCTGCAATTCCTTGTGAATAAACAGCGCTTCACAGGTTAATGGCTCATTGGGGTGGCTGAGGACTAGGGAGATGTTCACTCAGG